TACTCGCTTCTACACCGACAGCGATAACTGTACTCGCTTCTACACCGACAGCGGTAACTGTACTCGCTTCTACACCGACAGCGGTAACTGTACTCGCCTCTACACCGACAGCGATAACTGTACTCGCCTCTACACCGACAGCGGTAACTGTACTCGCCTCTACACCGACAGCGGTAACTGTACTCTCTTCTACACCGACAGCGATAACTGTACTCGCTTCTACACCGACAGCGGTAACTGTACTCGCCTCTACACCGACAGCGATAACTGTACTCTCTTCTACACCGACAGCGATAACTGTACTCTCTTCTACACCGACAGCGATAACTGTACTCTCTTCTACACCGACAGCGATAACTGTACTCGCTTCTACACCGACAGCGGTAACTGTACTCGCTTCTACACCGACAGCGATAACTGTACTCTCTTCTACACCGACAGCGATAACTGTACTCTCTTCTACACCGACAGCGATAACTGTACTCGCCTCTACACCGACAGCGATAACTGTACTCGCTTCTACACCGACAGCGATAACTGTACTCTCTTCTACACCGACAGCGATAACTGTACTCGCTTCTACACCGACAGCGATAACTGTACTCTCTTCTACACCGACAGCGATAACTGTACTCGCTTCTACACCGACAGCGATAACTGTACTCGCTTCTACACCGACAGCGATAACTGTACTCTCTTCTACACCGACAGCGATAACTGTACTGGCTTCTACACCGACAGCGATAACTGTACTCTCTTCTACACCGACAGCGATAACTGTACTCGCTTCTACACCGACAGCGGTAACTGTACTCTCTTCTACACCGACAGCGATAACTGTACTCTCTTCTACACCGACAGCGATAACTGTACTCGCCTCTACACCGACAGCGATAACTGTACTCGCCTCTACACCGACAGCGATAACTGTACTCTCTTCTACACCGACAGCGATAACTGTACTCTCTTCTACACCGACAGCGATAACTGTACTCGCTTCTACACCGACAGCGGTAACTGTACTCGCTTCTACACCGACAGCGATAACTGTACTCGCCTCTACACCGACAGCGGTAACTGTACTCGCTTCTACACCGACAGCGGTAACTGTACTCGCTTCTACACCGACAGCGGTAACTGTACTCGCCTCTACACCGACAGCGATAACTGTACTCGCCTCTACACCGACAGCGGTAACTGTACTCGCCTCTACACCGACAGCGATAACTGTACTCGCCTCTACACCGACAGTGATAACTGTACTCTCTTCTACACCGACAGCGGTAACTGTACTCGCTTCTACACCGACAGCGATAACTGTACTCGCCTCTACACCGACAGCGATAACTGTACTCGCCTCTACACCGACAGTGATAACTGTACTCGCTTCTACACCGACAGCGATAACTGTACTCGCTTCTACACCGACAGCGGTAACTGTACTCGCTTCTACACCGACAGCGATAACTGTACTCGCTTCTACACCGACAGCGATAACTGTACTCGCCTCTACACCGACAGCGATAACTGTACTCGCTTCTACACCGACAGCGGTAACTGTACTCGCCTCTACACCGACAGTGATAACTGTACTCGCCTCTACACCGACAGCGGTAACTGTACTCGCTTCTACACCGACAGCGGTAACTGTACTCGCCTCTACACCGACAGCGATAACTGTACTCGCCTCTACACCGACAGTGATAACTGTACTCGCCTCTACACCGACAGCGATAACTGTACTCGCCTCTACACCGACAGCGATAACTGTACTCGCTTCTACACCGACAGCGATAACTGTACTCGCTTCTACACCGACAGCGATAACTGTACTCGCTTCTACACCGACAGTGATAACTGTACTCGCTTCTACACCGACAGCGATAACTGTACTCGCCTCTACACCGACAGCGGTAACTGTACTCGCTTCTACACCGACAGCGATAACTGTACTCGCTTCTACACCGACAGCGGTAACTGTACTCGCCTCTACACCGACAGCGATAACTGTACTCGCTTCTACACCGACAGCGGTAACTGTACTCTCTTCTACACCGACAGCGATAACTGTACTCTCTTCTACACCGACAGCGGTAACTGTACTCGCCTCTACACCGACAGCGGTAACTGTACTCTCTTCTACACCGACAGCGGTAACTGTACTCGCCTCTACACCGACAGTGATAACTGTACTCGCCTCTACACCGACAGCGATAACTGTACTCGCTTCTACACCGACAGCGGTAACTGTACTCTCTTCTACACCGACAGCGATAACTGTACTCGCTTCTACACCGACAGCGATAACTGTACTCGCTTCTACACCGACAGCGATAACTGTACTCGCTTCTACACCGACAGTGATAACTGTACTCGCTTCTACACCGACAGCGATAACTGTACTCGCTTCTACACCGACAGCGGTAACTGTACTCTCTTCTACACCGACAGCGATAACTGTACTCTCTTCTACACCGACAGCGGTAACTGTACTCGCCTCTACACCGACAGCGGTAACTGTACTCGCCTCTACACCGACAGCGGTAACTGTACTCTCTTCTACACCGACAGCGGTAACTGTACTCGCCTCTACACCGACAGCGGTAACTGTACTCGCCTCTACACCGACAGCGATAACTGTACTCGCTTCTACACCGACAGCGGTAACTGTACTCGCTTCTACACCGACAGCGGTAACTGTACTCGCCTCTTCACCGACAGCGGTAACTGTACTCGCCTCTACACCGACAGCGGTAACTGTACTCTCTTCTACACCGACAGCGGTAACTGTACTCGCTTCTACACCGACAGCGATAACTGTACTCGCCTCTACACCGACAGCGGTAACTGTACTCGCTTCTACACCGACAGCGGTAACTGTACTCGCCTCTACACCGACAGCGGTAACTGTACTCGCTTCTACACCGACAGCGGTAACTGTACTCGCTTCTACACCGACAGCGATAACTGTACTCTCTTCTACACCGACAGCGATAACTGTACTCTCTTCTACACCGACAGCGATAACTGTACTCTCTTCTACACCGACAGCGGTAACTGTACTCGCTTCTACACCGACAGCGATAACTGTACTCGCCTCTACACCGACAGCGGTAACTGTACTCGCTTCTACACCGACAGCGGTAACTGTACTCGCCTCTACACCGACAGCGGTAACTGTACTCTCTTCTACACCGACAGCGGTAACTGTACTCGCTTCTACACCGACAGCGATAACTGTACTCTCTTCTACACCGACAGCGGTAACTGTACTCTCTTCTACACCGACAGCGGTAACTGTACTCGCTTCTACACCGACAGCGATAACTGTACTCGCCTCTACACCGACAGCGGTAACTGTACTCGCTTCTACACCGACAGCGGTAACTGTACTCGCCTCTACACCGACAGCGGTAACTGTACTCTCTTCTACACCGACAGCGGTAACTGTACTCGCTTCTACACCGACAGCGATAACTGTACTCGCCTCTACACCGACAGCGATAAGTGTACTCGCCTCTACACCGACAGCTATAACTGCACTCGCTTCTACACCGACAGCGGTAACTGTACTCGCCTCTACACCGACAGCGATAACTGTACTCGCCTCTACACCGACAGCGGTAACTGCACTCGCTTCTACACCGACAGCGATAACTGTACTCGCCTCTACACCGACAGCGGTAACTGTACTCGCCTCTACACCGACAGCGGTAACTGCACTCGCTTCTACACCGACAGCGGTAACTGTACTCGCTTCTACACCCACAGTGATAACTGTACTCGCTTTTGGGTTCACGATACCCTTAAAAGATGAGAGGAGTTGGGAGAATCCGTCACTCTGATTAGAGAGTTATTGTCTTTTGAAGACATGTTTTTCATACTTTCGAATGAATCAATATCAGTTTGTTGCATTTACACGTCTTTTTCCAGCAGATGGCCTCAGCATGCTACGCTTCGACCGCATCTAACCGTGAATCTAGCTAGTCTAGCGTAATCCATCTAATCTAACAGTGAATTTAGCTGACGAAGTCAATAGTGGAATAACAACAACACCTATATATATATATATATATATATATATATATTTTTTTTTTTCAATGCAACTTCAAAGGAAACAATACAATGTTGTCAACTAGCGCTGCATACTTGAGGTAATTTTGTTACACTATTTGCTAGCCTGCATGATGTCATCGTTAATACTTCTCACCATTTATTTCAAGGGTTCGACCGATTGCTCCATATATCCATTTTTTAACTAGTCCTTGAAAATTGGTTTTGACTGTCAGACAGTGTTGGATATTTCTGGACCTCGGCGATTAACTTCTCCACAATGCAGTCTGCTATTTTAAATGCGCTAGCCCTTTAAATTCGAGTGGATTCTGATTGGCTGTCATTGTTTTATCGTTCGACAGCTGGATAAAATCGTTCTGAAAGTGATCCCAACGATATCGTTCATCATATCGTTATAGTTGTGGAGTGAACTCTGCTATTCTTTACTATGGAGAACGATTTTTAGAACTTTATCGTTATCTTTATCGTCCTTGGTGTGAACGGGCCTTTACTCTCGTTCACGGTTTCCTTTGCTTGCGCGTCACATACTGCATATGTGGAAGCTTGTTTCTACCACGGAATAAAAAAATAAAAGGGAACTGCGAACTTTTTATCACACAATCTTTTTCGCACACACTGCAAACTTTTTATCACACAATTTTATCACACAATATCACACAATGGCTTCCATGCAAAGTTGATGTTCAGTGAGTGAGTGAGTGTGTGTGAGAGCCGTCTGACAGCCCTACATGAGCGTGTGTGTGTGTGTGAGCCGTCTGACAGCCCTACATGAGCTCGTGTGTGTGTGTGTGTGAGCCGTCTGACAGCCCTACATGAGCGCGTGTGTGTGTGTGAGCCGTCTGACAGCCCTACATGAGCGCGTGTGTGTGTGTGTGAGCCGTCTGACAGCCCTACATGAGCGCGTGTGTGTTGTGTGTGTGTGTCAGGTGTGGGACGCGGGCTCCGGGGCGCTGCTGCAGAAGATGCCTGCGGATCTCCCTGTGCTGGACATCTGCCCGTTCCAGGCCCAGCAGAGCAGCTTCCTGGCCTCGCTCACCGAGAAGATGCTCAAGGTCTACAAGTGGGAGTGAGACCCACGGGACCAGGACCAGAGTCCGACGCGACCGGCTCTCTTTACCACGCCTTCTGTTTAAATCAGTGTTTTCTCAATGTTTCAGTTCAAAGTCATCACTGCTCACTATTTTCTTTGTATATATGTAAGTGTTTTTGTATTGCTTTATTAAAATAATAAATGCATACGTGCTTTGACAGTTTGTGAGAGCTTAAAAACACCTCAGGGGACGGGAACATCAAAATAGTTTTGAAGATCACTGAGTGCATTTCCAGTTGCGTTACATTTTTGGTCATTAAAATTGAGTTTAAAGTTTTTTCCTAAAAGAAAGGCGGGACACCACAGGTGAACGGGGTGAAAATTCAGTTTATTCATCTCAGTACATTAAGATAATTGTTTTTATTACAAGTTTTCTGAAATGTTATGTTTAAAAAATGCACATTATGTGTTATCTAATTAAATATGCACTAATTTGCATACATTCCAGAATAGAAATTAACATTGGATGAAGCCAGGTTCAAAATTAACTTCTTAGAGTTGAAGGTTTTTACAGAGGGATTTATTTTTATGTTATTTTTATCACTTCATAAATCAGAGGGGAAAAAAAACATTTTCACCGTGTTTTTAGGAATAAAATTGCCTCTATAAACCAGGCGAATGATGCATGAACAAACCTTCAGAATATAGATATGAATAAAACTAAAGTTTCCTGTAGAAAATAAACGTGTCTTCCTCCAGGGGGCGAATTCTCCCTTCAACCAAATTCGGTTTATTTATTTTATTAGAAGATACATGTGCTCTATAAAATACTCATTTCAATGTTGTTTCCAGAAATATTGTCTGACATAAAATGGAAATCCAACACAAAAGACTCACGATACATTTATTTAAAGTAAACATTTCCTAGTAATCAGAAACGATTGTGATTGGCCCATCCTCATCAACGCTGAGAAGAGCAACACGCACCAGCTGACCACACCCATATCATCCATTACAGCAACAGCGTCCTGGGTCATAGTTTATACCTGAATAATGCCACCAATAACCGTATAGTTATTTGATTTAGAATGCATTACACGGTATAAGTTAAATTATTAAAATACTTAAGACTCATTGTACCTGACAAGTCCGGGATATCTAAGCCCCGCCCACTTTCCGAACTGCTAATTCCCTCCATTATCTTAAGAGTAATCTACGTGGCCAATGTTTGACTCGATCGGTGTGCCGTTCGAATACCGTAATTTTTTATTAATTATTATTAATGCAATGAACCAGAACAATACAAAGAGACATAATATAATTCAAAATAAAATAAAAACAGTGCCAGAGGACAAGCAAAAATGTGCTACTTTATACAACAGCATACCTGCTTACAATGCTATAAGCTCTGATTGACTTTTTACTTGTGCAGTTGCACAAAACAGAACAATAAAGCTTGAAATCATGTACCGTAATTCAGTACTTCCAGAGAACTGGCGAATCATACTACAGCGTCGGATTTAGCTCATGAATATTAACAAGCCTACGCCGCGACGTCAGCGCGTGCTGATTAATATTCATGAGCGCGCTCTTCGGCGTAGTAGGATTGGTAACTCCACTGAGGAAGATGGCGGCGTGTGGACGTGTTCTGCGGCTCCTGCTGGTGCTCTTCATCTCCGGCTCGATCTGCTCTGCTCGGGAGGCCAAACCAGCGCTCGGAGACGGCGATATCCCCGCGGACATCAGCGAGAGAGCCCGGAACCCCGCGGGGGAGGCGAGGGCCGCGGACGGGCCGCCGGCGGGCCGCAGGAGCGGAGGCTCAGGCTGGAGGCTCGCGGAGGAGGAGGCCTGTCGGGAGGACGTGAGCAGGATCTGCCCCAAACACTCCTGGAACAACAACCTGGCCGTGCTCGAGTGCCTGCAGGACCGCAAAGACGTAAGGACATGTTTTGACACGCAGCGTCTGCGATTTAAAGCGCATATAACGCACCATCATCAGTCTTAATAGTGCGTTACAACAACACACATCTGGACCTGCAGCGTCTTCCTGCGACACTCAGAAGTTATAGATCACACACAGTCTATAGATGTCGACGGAAGCAGGAACATATAGGCAGATATATAGGAACCAGACGGCTTTTTGGCAAGAAAGGGCCTCTGAATGTCACATACATGCAGGTTTTGGGGGTGTTCGAGGTTTTAAAACCTGGTTATCGTGATTAATATAGGTGGGAAATGTGTTTTCTGTTTATGGCTGTGCTTCAAACGTTAAAAGCTGTAACTTGCAACCCACCGATACGCCAGATATGCGGCGTGACGTCACGTGCGCTCAGATGTTTTTTTATGACGAATACCGATAACTAACAGGGTGGAAAAATATCTAAAGCTAGCAAATCATATAAGTGAAATGACTTATGGTAAAGTTGGCATGAAATTATCAATGTATTTTGAACGTTTGATCCGTGCATACGTATAATTAAAACATTTCTGCAAAATTGTGCACTTTGAGAGCTCAAAATTAAGAGTTTTAACTCATTTAAAGTGCAAACATCTTTTAGTCTCAGTGGCAGTAATATCCATATATTGTAAAACAAATGAACTGTAAAATAAATGAAAATGAATGTTTCATAAGTATATTTTACTTTACAGTATAAGGAAATGAATACTTTTGTCCTGATTTCTTCACTTGCACGAGATAACCCCTTGAGCTTATATTTAGGAGAAAAGTTGCGCCAGATCACCAAGCCATATCACGGTTTCGGTTTTATTGGCAAAATACAGCGTTAGAGACCTTTGTTAGGCTATAAGTTTCACATTTTGGGTTCATTATGAAACCGTGGCACACAGGGTCATTAATGGGAAGCATTGAATGAATATTTATCTGATAAATGTGCTGAAGTTGTAGCCTGGATGCCAGCCCGAATCCCGCCCACAACATTTTTTGATCGGGAAGTTCGGTCTGGACTCGCTCCATTGAGGAGTAATTATGATCGGTTCAGAAATCGTCGGGCCAATCAAATTGCCAGGGCGGGCTTTATACGATGATGGACAGATGATCTGCAGGACGTATATTCTCACGTCATCAAAGAGCGCTTGGGTTGAACTGGTTTCCCTCAAAGATGGCCGCCGCTGGAGAACTGAGATGTATAGATCCCGCTATCGCGTCCGTTGTAAAAGAAATCGACAGCGCATTCATTTTAAAAGACGAACATAGAACTGCAATCAAGGCATTTGTCGATCGGAAAGATGTGTTTGCCGTCCTTCCTATGGGATTCGGCAAAAGTTTAATTTATCAGCTGGCTCCGATGGTCACTAAGAAGACGGGACGCAATGAAAACCCTGTGGTCGTTGTGGTTTCTCCTTTGGTCGCAATCATAGAGGGCCAAGTAAAAGAAGCAACACTCGTTATTTTACTTCTTCCAGCGCGCGTGCATTTGAGTTCTGTAGTTGACAACTGTGCTAGGCAAAGTAGTTGACTTACTGCGTTGCTCTGATTGGTTGTAGATCTATCCAATTGAGTGCAGAGTTTTTTTTTTTTTCCTGGTTCGGTTAAGACACGCCTCATAATCAAAGCCCTATGGAGCAGTATCAGACTCACATTCTGACTATGAGTATGACGAAGTCAGGCTACTGAAGTTGAGTAATATTACTGCCTCTCCGACCCTGTTATTGCTTTGGGGATAATCTGTTACACACACACACACACACGCGTCACAATACAGCAGAACAAATCAGTCGCTCAATCGGTTCATGTCGACTCTCGATGGCCACTGGTACCGTAGCCCATCATCTCAGAGTGACTGGTGTTTGGCCAATAATTTCCCCAATATTTTAACTGGTATATTATTTAAGTACTGCTTTTTCTGCCGCGGGGTTCCGGGGCTTTAGTTGTTAGACTTGACTGACTTGTTTTAGGGACTTCATTTGTTGAGTCCTCTTAACACAAATGTGAATCCTGCTAGTTGTTTGTCAAAGATTAGCCGTTGTTGAACCAGCACTGACGTGGAGTCGTGGCATGATCACAAACGCGAGAGCATCAAGATCCCTGTGTAATGTAATAATGCTTCTGAAGTGTGCTGTTCACTGGCAGTGTTTGGTCAGATCTGTGTGTGTGATGTGAGTCGGGTCATTAGTTCTTAGTTACTGATTACACACACAACACTTTCACTCATAAGAACATCTGTTGATCAGCTCTCACTGGGTTTCCTCGTACTCGGGTTGTGGTGTGTTGGGTTGTGGTGTGTGTTGGGTTGTGGTGTGTGTTGGGTTGTGGTGTGTGTTGGGTTGTGGCGTGGGGGTGTGTGTTGGGTTGTGGTGTGTGTTGGGTTGTGGGGTTGTGGTTGGGTTGTGGTGTGTGTTGGGTTGTGGCGTGGGGTTGTGTGTTGGGTTGTGGTGTGTTGGGTTGTGGTGTGTGTTGGGTTGTGGTGTGTGTTGGGTTGTGGTGTGTGTTGGGTTGTGGTGTGTGTTGGGTTGTGGTGTGGGGTTGTGTGTTGGGTTGTGGGGTTGTGGTTGGGTTGTGGTGTGTGTTGGGTTGTGGCGTGGGGTTGTGTGTTGGGTTGTGGTGTGTGTTGGGTTGTGGGGTTGTGGTTGGGTTGTGGGGTTGTGGTTGGGTTGTGGTGTGTGTTGGGTTGTGGCGTGGGGTTGTGTGTTGGGTTGTGGTGTGTGTTGGGTTGTGGTGTTGTGGGGTTGGATGGGGTTGTGTTGTGTGTTGGGTTGTGGTGTGGGGTTGTGTGTTGGGTTGTGGTGTTGGGTTGAATGGGGTTGTGTGTTGGGTTGTGGTGTGTTGTGTGTTGGGTTGTGGGGTTGTATGTTGGGTTGTGGTGTGTTGGGTTGTGGTGTGTTGGGTTGTGGTGTGTTGGGTTGTTGTGTGTTGGGTTGTATGTTGGGTTGTGTGGGGTTGGATAGGGTTATGTGTTGGGTTGTTGTTGTGTGTTGGGTTGTATGTTGGGTTGTGTGGGGTTGGATAGGGTTATGTGTTGGGTTGTTGTTGTGTGTTGGGTTGTGTTGTGTTGTACAGACCTAATCACATTACAGGATGATTCAATGGATGTTCACTGTTACCTGTTGTTTCTCGGCTGTTAAAGGATTTCTTAGGTCTCCACTTTGACTGTTTTTTCTTTGTTTGTAACGTTTTATTGCAGAATGATCGCATGTCATAAAGATATCAGGAAGTTTAGCATGTATTCTCTATAACTGAGTCTCTAGACCTTCTCTTGTTGTAGAGTCAGTGTGAGCTCTTACTGTAAGGCCAATCGCTTAGCCGGACAAAGTTCCTCATTGTTATAAATAAAGCCTGAATGGAGCTACTTTGTTTACTTCCATTATTTATGATCTGCCGGAGGCAAAAGGCCCTGGTAGCTTCTTTAAATATACTGTTTTCTAAAATGAAAGCCTGACCCAGCTGGAGAAAGATGGTGTTGAGGGACGGCGCTCTGATTGTGTTCTCGATCTCTAACGCTGGTCTTCTGGCCTGGGAACTGTGGGCTTTTCTCCCTAATGTCTCGTGATCATGCAGGGTTATAAACATAATCATTTTTGTTCTTTTCACTTGAATTAGATATTACAGATCCAGCAAATTTGCACAGAGACGCTCTGTATCTCGAAGGCTTTCAGCAACGATAAACCCTGCTGAAGGACGACGCTCTCTGGGGCGAACAGGTTTCTCTTTTTGATTGGATTTGGAAGCTGTTTTTAGTAACATTGACCCTGAGAACGAAGAGTTAAAGACATCCTGATCAAGGCCTTCCCGGATAATGTGTCTGTGAATCTGTGAGTGTGTTCACACACATCCTGTAAAGACACGTGGTGTGTAACGTACTCGTCGAAACATGTTGTAGTCCAACAGCGGAAGTGTTTGCATTGCTTTGATCAACATGCCGACCAGAGGTGGACCGTACTTTACTCGAGTATGTGTACTTGAGTATTATTTTTTCTGGAAACTTTACTTTAACTCCACTGCGTTTCTGTCGAGGTCCTCGAGTAGACGGTGGTGCCGTCAGTCGGGAGGATTGTGGCTGGATATGAAAGTCAGGAGCCCGACTGATGTTGGTTTCTGACGCCGGGTTTGGTCTTCTAAATGCGAATGTTGTCACTGTTTTGGAGCACACTAGCTTATAGATAACAGTAAGGCTAACATATTATTCATGCTAAAAGACAAACCTCTTTAAATACGGCACTATTTGAGGAGCCACTGTGGACGTTACTCAGTCTCGCATGCGATCCCACGACTGGAACTGCTCTAGAAGTAAAGGTGATATTGATATGAGGGCAGGCATAGAGTCAGAGGCATAACGTACTGCAAGTATTACATACAACAATGCAACAATAATAAAACAATGCATTGACATTTACTTTTTACTTCTGATACTTAAGTACTTTTAAAAACGAGTAGGCTACTTCTGTACTTTTACTCTAGTAAAACTGTCTTTACCACCTTTACCTGTAACGGAGTGATTTTTGACCAGTAGTATCTGTACTCACTGCAGTGAGGAGGTGTGTGTGCTTGTCCAGCTCTGAGAGGTGTGTGTGTGCTCGTCCAGCTCTGAGAGGTGTGTGTGTGCTCGTCCAGCTCTGAGAGGAGGTGTGTGTGCTCGTCCAGCTCTGAGAGGAGGTGTGTGTGTGCTCGTCCAGCTCTGAGAGGAGGTGTGTGTGTGCTCATCCAGCTCTGAGAGGAGGTGTGTGTGTGCTCATCCAGCTCTGAGAGGAGGTGTGTGTGCGCTCGTCCAGCTCTGAGAGGAGGTGTGTGTGCGCTCGTCCAGCTCTGAGAGGAGGTGTGTGTGTGCTCGTCCAGCTCTGAGAGGAGGTGTGTGTGTGCTCATCCAGCTCTGAGAGGAGGTGTGTGCGCTCGTCCAGCTCTGAGAGGAGGTGTGTGTGCGCTCGTCCAGCTCTGAGAGGAGGTGTGTGTGCTTGTCCACCTCTGAGAGGAGGTGTGTGTGCTCGTCCAGCTCTGAGAGGAGGTGTGTGTGTGTGCTCGTCCAGCTCTGAGAGGAGGTGTGTGTGCTCGTCCAGCTCTGAGAGGAGGTGTGTGTGTGCTCATCCAGCTCTGAGAGGTGTGTGTGTGCTCGTCCAGCTCTGAGAGGTGTGTGTGCTCGTCCAGCTCTGAGAGGAGGTGTGTGTGCGCTCGTCCAGCTCTGAGAGGAGGTGTGTGTGCGCTCGTCCAGCTCTGAGAGGAGGTGTGTGTGTGTGCTCGTCCAGCTCTGAGAGGAGGTGTGTGTGTGTGTGTGCTCGTCCAGCTCTGAGAGGAGGTGTGTGTGTGCTCGTCCAGCTCTGAGAGGAGGTGTGTGTGCTCATCCAGCTCTGAGAGGAGGTGTGTGCGCTCGTCCAGCTCTGAGAGGAGGTGTGTGTGCGCTCGTCCAGCTCTGAGAGGAGGTGTGTGTGCTTGTCCACCTCTGAGAGGAGGTGTGTGTGCTCGTCCAGCTCTGAGAGGAGGTGTGTGTGTGTGCTCGTCCAGCTCTGAGAGGAGGTGTGTGTGCTCGTCCAGCTCTGAGAGGAGGTGTGTGTGTGCTCATCCAGCTCTGAGAGGAGGTGTGTGTGTGCTCATCCAGCTCTGAGAGGAGGTGTGTGTGCGCTCGTCCAGCTCTGAGAGGAGGTGTGTGTGTGCTCGTCCAGCTCTGAGAGGAGGTGTGTGTGTGCTCGTCCAGCTCTGAGAGGAGGTGTGTGTGTGCTCATCCAGCTCTGAGAGGAGGTGTGTGCGCTCGTCCAGCTCTGAGAGGAGGTGTGTGTGCTTGTCCACCTCTGAGAGGAGGTGTGTGTGTGTGCTCGTCCAGCTCTGAGAGGAGGTGTGTGTGTGTGCTCGTCCAGCTCTGAGAGGAGGTGTGTGTGTGTGCTCGTCCAGCTCTGAGAGGAGGTGTGTGTGAGCGCTCGTCCAGCTCTGAGAGGAGGTGTGTGTGCGCTCGTCCAGCTCTGGGAGGAGGTGTGTGTGTGTGCTCGTCCAGCTCTGAGAGGAGGTGTGTGTGTGCTCGTCCAGCTCTGAGAGGAGGTGTGTGTGTGTGCTCGTCCAGCTCTGAGAGGAGGAGGTGTGTGTGTGTGTGTGCTCGTCCAGCTCTGAGAGGAGGTGTGTGTGTGTGTGCTCGTCCAGCTCTGAGAGGAGGTGTGTGTGCGCTCGTCCAGCTCTGAGAGGAGGTGTGTGTGTTCGTCCAGCTCTGAGAGGAGGTGTGTGTGCTCGTCCAGCTCTGAGAGGAGGTGTGTGTGTGTGCTCGTCCAGCTCTGAGAGGTGTGTGTGCTCGTCCAGCTCTGAGAGGAGGTGTGTGTGCGCTCGTCCAGCTCTGAGAGGAGGTGTGTGTGCGCTCGTCCAGCTCTGAGAGGAGGTGTGTGTGTGTGCTCGTCCAGCTCTGAGAGGAGGTGTGTGTGTGTGTGTGCTCGTCCAGCTCTGAGAGGAGGTGTGTGTGTGCTCGTCCAGCTCTGAGAGGAGGTGTGTGTGTGCTCGTCCAGCTCTGAGAGGATGCAAATGACCATGTTATCAGCTGGGACGTTAAGCGTTGTTTAGTTTACTAGTTTAATTAAAAGGCACCAGAATACATGAAATGGCATTTACTCCAGTAACAGTTTTCCGGGGGAGGACCCACACTGCACATCACAAAGCAACGCTTATTATTGGAGGAATAAAATGTGGTTATTGTGTATATAAATTGTGTTTATACACATCTTAAAATGTGGTCTTGAAGCCGCCGTAATGACACCGTTTACTCTCTCGCTTTATACTGATGTGGAACTTTCCCTTTAAAGTTGCTGTTCTCGACTCCTCATCTCTTCTGCTTTCTCTCTCTCTAGCGTTCTGCAGTGTCATCATCATAATCCCTCACACATTAGTCAGTTTACGCTCGATCAGCTTTCATGTTGGGAAATATTGCTCTTGTTCATGCCAAGCATTGCTGTGAAGCTTAACCTCCTGGTTCCTTCTGAGAATGGCATCAAAGTGAATGGGACAAAAATAAAAGCTGTATCATGTTTATTTGAGATTTAGATAGCCAGTGTTGTTGGTCATGTTGGTCTTTAACAGTGTGCTTTTGTTTATTGAGACCACTATACAGCCACTATACGGCGTTATAATGTTCATCCACCGGTAGCAGTGTGGAGTTCTCTTCCACCAAAAACTGAAAGACAAATAAGTTTAATTAGTACTTGTTTTCTGACATGTCTTATGAACATATGTTGACTTTATTTCACCACATTGTTTAATCTTCCTGATCTAAAGAGCCTAGCATGTAATTACGCTGTTATAATGGATGTTTGTAGTCAAATATTTAACTTGTGTCGTATAAAGGCAGTGTTGTTTACAGCTGTGCTCTGAGCCTTTGACTCAGTCACATGATCAGATGAGTCCACACCGGATGTGCACCGGAAGAGCGAGGCCAGATCTGTGTTTGCATCTACTCTTCACACACCTCTCCTCTCCCCGGGTCACAAACACACACACTGCCAAAGCATTAAAGTCAATACCACACACACACACACTAGCAACAGGCACTACTGTACTTGGGATGGGCCGTAACATTAGCCTAGTCGTCCAACAGCTGTTTTATATTTTTAAGTGTAGCTTTAGCTGAGTTTAGTTAGCTTTATTTAACCCTTTGAAGCACCAGTGCGTGAATGATCTACAAGTGTTTTTGGTGGATTAAAAGCGCACTTCGAGACGCTGCGTCCGGTTATATAGTTGAGCTCCTTCAACCGGTTTGTGAACGCTAGAAACATGTGTAAAGTGCCTAAAGATAGAGGTCATGTGATGCAGAAAGCAGCCTCATTACTCCAGGCTTGTTGGTCTTGATCACCAGTGTTGTGTGTAACGCGTTACAGTAACGGAACTACTTTTTCGGGTAAAAAGTAGTGTAACGCGCTACTACTGAAAATTTGGTAACGAAACATAGTTCCTTTTTCAATTCGGCGCAACGTTACTTTTCCCAGGGACAGATTTGACAGCGATCTCCGTGATTTGACAGCGATCTCCGTGATTTGACAGCGATCTCCGTGATTTGACAGCGATCGCCATCTCCGTAGTGAACGCCTACAGAGAGAAAGGCACATAATGGATTACATAATCAGAGAGTAGCCTATTTCTTTTCGTTTTGAATTGTTTCGTTTAAAGACATTTCAAGCTTTCTATATATAGATATATTTCTCATGTCTGTGAGGCTTAAGATGAGTTTCGGGTAATTTATGATGAGATGCTCCAGTTCAGGCGCAAGAAGTGACCGCGCCGGCGCCTCCATGTCATGATTATATTGTCTGCTATATTTGCTTCTTATTTATTAAATCCAGGCAATTGGTTGATCAAAAATTGATTAATTTCTTTTAAAGAAAGGCTTTCTACAAAACAAAACTTAATGAAGTGGTCAAAATCATGTCTCACCCACTCCATATGTCTCCCGATATATTGTGCATCCATCTTACTCATGCTGTTCACTTTTTATAATCACCAATATTTAAACAAATATGAAACTAAATGCGCTTATTTAATGGCTACAACACGTATAGTAGGCCTAGACTTTCTACTTGTACAAATTGCTGCACATTCATTTGATTCTGAATTTTGCACATAAGTTGAAAGGCATTTGTTTACATGCATAGAAAAACATATCAGCAACATTTATCAAGTTCACGGATAATTGTGCGTGCATTTATTAATCATTATGATACTAAAATCATAATAAAGTAGGCTATACTATGTACAAAAAATCAGATGAGCCCAGAATATGAACGCAACGTGTTTACTTGCACGTTAAGCATTTTCCTCCCATAGAAAACCATTATAAGAACGCTTAATGTGGCTTAATGCAGATTAGAATATCCCCTTATTATGTCCAAATAACAAGATAAGTTTTCATTTTTTTCTTCCCCATGCGGTTCAGGACTTCCACAGAATACAGCCTGGATATAATTACTTCCAGAAAGTATTTTTGGGGGTGCTAACGGGGAGCTTTGGTCTTTCTTGGGGGCTTTCTTTCTAGCGCCGCCCATGCATATGCCTATCCATTAACCGGCATTTCTTCAGAAATATTCAACGTTTTGATTTATGCATTTATGGCATTATATATGGCATTATGCATAGTGTAACTTTATGTAGGCCTACACATTTAGGAACAGATATTGGGTTCTGCCCAAAGTCAAGCAACACAAAAGTAACGTAAACGTAACGAGTAACGTAAAAAGTTACTTTCCATATGGGGTAACTAAGTAAAGTACCGGATTACTTTTTTAAAGAAGTAACAAGTAACGAGTCACACTACTTTTTAGAAGTAACTTCCCCAACACTGTTGTCTGTGTGTAATCCCTGCTGTTCTCCATCTCTCTCCAGGACACCGAGATCGCCTCAGACTGCAATCATGTAAGTCTTCACACACCACGACCCCGGGATGCGGAGGCTAACGCTAACCTCACACACTAGCTGCACTTTAGCACACACTCAGCCATACTGAAATGAAGTTGTTTGTTTGGTTTTGGATGTTTGCTTTGCTTTTTTGTTTATTTTGATTTAAGTTGTTTTTTTTGGTTTGGTTTGTTTAAACAGAACTGATATACGTACATTCTTTCTTTCACTGTGTTTAATCTCTTATTTTCAAGTTGTATTTATTTATTTATTTTTGCCTATTGACTTCTTTACTATTATACATTTTAAATATTCCTGGTATTACTTTTAATTATATTATTAATGTTAAATAACCTCATTATGTCAGTGCTGTTATTGCTCAGGGGAGAAACAAGTATAAAGGCCTCTGAAACTTTAGTCCGTCATGAAAAAAATCGAATGGAGTTTGAATGGAGTTTGAATGGAGTTTGAATGGAGTTTGAATGGAGTTTGAATGGAGTTTGAATGGAGTTTGAATGGAGTTTGAATGGAGTTTGAATGGAGTTTGAATGGAGTTTGAATGGAGTTTGAATGGAGTTTGAATGGAGTTTGAATGGAGTTTGAATGGAGTTTGAATGGAGTTTGAATGGAGTTTGAATGGAGTTTGAATGGAGTTTGAATGGAGTTTGAATGGAGTTTGAATGGAGTTTGAATGGAGTTTGAATGGAGTTTGAATGGAGTTTGAATGGAGTTTGAATGGAGTTTGAATGGAGTTTGAATGGAGTTTGAATGGAGTTTGAATGGAGTTTGAATGGAGTTTGAATGGAGTTTGAATGGAGTTTGAATGGAGTTTGAATGGAGTTTGAATGGAGTTTGAATGGAGTTTGAATGGAGTTTGAATGGAGTTTGAATGGAGTTTGAATGGAGTTTGAATGGAGTTTGAATGGAGTTTGAATGGAGTTTGAATGGAGTTTGAATGGAGTTTGAATGGAGTTTTGACAATTCAGAGCCACCGAATCACGAATATGAAAAAAACGCATATGAAAATTTCGGACTCAGTGTGCAGGGGCCTTCAGGTTGATTCAGGTGTGTGAGATTCAGACGTGCAGTGAGTAAAGCTCCTGGTGTTTCCTCCAGCTGCTCTGGAACTACAAGCTGAACCTGACGACTGACCCGAAGTTCGAGTCCGTGGCCGTCGAGGTGTGCAAGACCACCATCAGTGCGGTGAGTTCTCACACACACACACTCACACTCACACACACACTCACACACACACTCACACTCTCTCTCTCACACACACACTCACACTCACACACTCTCTCTCACACACACTCTCACACACGCTCTCACACACGCTCTCACACACGCTCTCACACACACTCTCACACACACTCTCACACACACTCTCACACACACTCTCACACACACTCACACCACAGTACACACCCTTATCATCCTAACCCCCCCAGATTAAGGAGTGTGCCGCTGAGGAGCGTGGGAAGGGCTACCTGGTGTCGTGTTTAGTGGACCACCGCACCAACATCTCCGAGTACCAGTGTGACCAGTACATCACCAAGATGACCAGCATAGTGTTCAGCGACTACCGGCTGATCTGCGGCTTCATGGACAAGTGCAAAGACGACATCAACAAGCTGCACTGCGGGAGCGTCACCACGGGGGAGAAGGTAAAGCGCACTGCACTCTGGGTAACTAGGCCTGAACCTTTTTACAGGAAGGATGTAACACTTTTTTTAAAACCAGTACTTCCTGTTTGATATCTTTAGTATCTCTGCCAGTTTGTGTAATATTAGTGTCAAATACAGAACTGAACAGACACTTACTGTAAGATTACAAACACTGTTTTTACCATTTAGATTTGTCTGCGCAACTGCTCTGGGATCTTGCTTCGGCAAATGTTTCATAAAACAGTTCTGCCACAAATTAACAGCAGGAAAAAGTCATAGGTTTTTTTTTTATGTCTATGTAGGTTTTATTTATTTTTAGTTTAGTTTGAGTACATAGTTAAATAATTAAATTAATTAGAAATTCTGCCTTGGCAACTGTTAACACAGTTTAATACATTTAATTACAAATGCGACGAGCATCGGTTGATGATATCGAGCGGTTTGGTTCAGTGGTCAGTCATTGGTCATTTGACCAGCTCATTTAGTTCAGTGTCTTAATTACACAACTTTTCATCCCAAACCAATAACACTTTCCTTCATTTTCGAAACACAATGGAGAGATTTTTAATGAAACCGAGAGATTTCTGTCCCTCCAGTTCATAAAGGTCATAAAAATAATCTGTATGAATTGAGAGATTTAGGTTTTCTGAAGACACACTTGCTTTATATGATGAATAGATTTACTTTAGGCTTTTATTCACATATAAACACAAATATATTCATATTCACATGTAAATGCAGACTCGAACGTTCTTGCTTGATGCGTGACAACCAATAAGAAGGCATGCACGATATATCTGCCACCGTATCGCCCCATATATGTTCATTTTTAATGTTATCGCCATCAGTCCGAAAAGAGAATCCGGCCGATATATTAAAGCTGATAAATAATGTATTTCCTTCAGCTGAGACGCTTCAAAAAAGGAAGATACAGTTCATGTGCAGCGCAAGTCTGTCATATCCACTACATAAAACTATAATGAGAACATCATAACTGTGAGCTTAGGACGTGGCTTTTAATGATGAGACTTTTGTTTTTGTAATCAGGCTCTCAAAAATGAGATTTGGATTTAAATTTTCCGGCCAATGTATGGGTTATCTAGCCTTGGCCCAGAGTATCTGAGGTCGGGAGGTTCGGTCTGGACTTGATCCCTTGAGAAGCAATGCTCGAACCAGAGCGGTTCGGACCAATCAAATCACCAGGGCGGTTCGGACCAATCAGATTGTCTGTGAGGGCTTTATACGCTGATGGACAGATGATCAACCGTAACGTAATCATCGCGTCACCAAAGAGCGCTTGGGTTGAGTTCGTTTACAACAAAGATGGCCGCCGCTGGAGAGCTGAGATGTGTGGATTCAGCATCGCGTCTGTTATAGGAGATGTAGACAGCGCATTCGTTTATAAGAGGAACCGAGAACCGCCATCAAGGCTTTCGCCGATCGGAAAGATGAATGAGGATCATGTGTCACTCACTCCGTTGCTCTGATTGGTTGTAGGTCTGTACAATTGAGTGGAGGCATTTTCTTCCCTGGTTGGGTTGAAACGCCCCGTAATCACAGCCAGTGGAGCCGCATCAGACTCGCATGCGGACTACAGTCCAGATCATATGAGCGGAGTGGAGCGGTGAGAATCTCAGCTCCTCGCTCACGAAACTGTTCACCCCCCCGCTCCGCCGCTCAAAGCCACATCAGGCCGCTCCGCTCATTACCGCTCAGTGCTCAACGCAGTTTGCTTCGCGGTCCACTCAAATCGCCTATGTAAGAAGGAATATAGCCTATACAAAAAGTCCTGTAAAATTAAACGAATAAATTGACCTAATAATATGAATAAAAATGATATAAACAAAAATATACATAAGTTTTAAGTAAATTAACTATTAGGCCAGAATTTTGATAACTGAATTTTTGCGCAACGCGCACGATTAAAATTTAAATTGGCTTATAGCCTATCCATTGTACACACAAACTGCTCTAAAATTAAACGAATAAATGGGCCTAATAATATAAATAAAAATATACAGGCTATGCCCTACTGTAGGCTACATCAAAGTTTTAAAAGTATAGGCTAAATGAACTAATAGGCCAAAATTCGTACAACTGAACTTTTGCGCAGAGTGCACGTGGATTACAATTTAAATTGGCTTAAAAAAAAAAGAAAGAAAATGAATTGCTTTCCTTATCTACAGTTCTTTTGAGTTTACCTTCAAGAACACAAGTTTGGACAATGTCTGAGGCTTCAGACTCATGCGGTGGTTGCGGAGAAAACCCTCTCTGGAGTGAAGACCCGCTGGATGCTGAACACAACGCGAGCTTCTTTAGCCAGGCGGGGGAAAGACGTGGAGTGTGTTCACACCGAACGCGAATAGAGCGTCAAATACGCGTCTATCGCGTCTAGTTAGACGCTTGAACATTCGCTCGAGTTCAAATTTTTCAACTTGCGCGGAAGACATTCGCGGTAAACGCGTCACGTCATTCGCAACGCCCGGCGCAAATGATGCGTCTATTCGCGTCTTTGCATTGACTTTGTATATAATCTACTCGCGCAAATAATTAAATTCGCGTTCAGTGTGAACACAGACTCGTGGTGTGAGCGGAGCGAAATTGGAGCGGGAAATAGGGCGATGCTCCGTCCTTTTAAAAATCCCGCTCTGTCCAAGATCCGCCCGCTCGCGCTCCACTCACTGCTCTGCTACAGTCTGAGTATGATGTCAGGCTATCGGTTATCGGCTTTCAAATATAAAAGGTTATTGGTATCGGCCAAAATTGTCATATCGGTGCATCTCTGCCAATAAGGTTTGTTTTCGTGCTTTAAGTGTGTGTTTTAAAGATAAGCAAAGATACTTTTGCTTTAAACTATTCAAAAACCCCTCGAACAGTGTTGTATATTTTGTAACTCTCATGGGTTTGGAGTGAGGTGAGTGAAATGAACATCTCGGCGTGACCCACGTGTGCTCAGCTGTGTCCGGCTTTGCTGATGTTGAATCCGCCTGAGGGTTCCTCATGTCCTCCTCTCGTCCCGCAGGACCTGCACTCCCAGGGCGAGGTGATCTCGTGTCTGGAGAAGGGCCTGGTGAGCGAGGCCGAGGAGCAGGGCACGTACGCCATCAGAGACGAGTGCAAGAAGTCCATCATGCGTGTGGCCGAGCTCTCGTCCGACGACTTCCACCTGGACCGGCACCTGTACTTCTCCTGCCGCGAGGACCGCGAGCGCTTCTGCGAACACGTGAGCCGCCACCCCACACGCCCACGCTTCTGCGTGCTAATGCTAATGCTAATGCTGTGCCTCTTCCTTCTAGACTCCAGCCGGAGAAGGAAAGGTCTACAAATGCCTGTTCAACCACAAGTACGAGGAGAGCATGTCTGACAAGGTGCGTTTGCTTCAGTCCTTCACCAGCTGAGGCTCGTCTTCCTCTTCCTCCTTTACAAACGATTGAGTAGTTTTACCCTCAACTGTGTTCAATTCACACCAGAATTAATAAATTCTATTAACGAACAAGCAGATAAAGCAGAAAAGGAGGCACTTCAGTGGGAAATGACAGAATAAGATGATATGAGGTGATTCCAGCACTAAACCCAGGAGTTAATTATTATTTTGAGAGTAGACATGACCAGGTTATGTATACGAGATGCCGAATTGGACATTCAGGACTCACTCATTCCTATTTATTTAAAAGGGGAAGAGAAGCCGGTTTGGGATTTGTGTAAGAATTTCATGTGTAAAACATATTTTAATTAGTGCTGTCAAACGATTAGTGCTGTCATAGTTAACTCGCGATTAATAGCACATTTTTATCTATTCTAAATGTCTCTTGATTTCTTTTTGTCCCATTATTTTTTTCTCATTTTAATGCTCTCATCAACATGGAAAAGTGGATCGGCTTGCTTTGAGCAAATGTTTTTTATTGAAAACAACATTGGCATATACTGTGTTCAATTTCACACCAACATTCTCACTTGGAGCAAATAATCTCTCAATGTAACACTGTCCATCAATAAAAGGGTGAAAGAAATACTGACGAGGTCCTGATATTGACGAGGGGGCGGAGAATTCGTATCAGCTGTGTGTGTGTGAAAAGCATGTAAAAAAAAAACTACAAAGTTTGCTTGGGCAAAAAGACCGTTAATCGCGCGATAAAAAAATTAACGCCGTTAAAATGGGTTTGCGTTAACGCCGTTAATAATGCGTTTAACTGACAGCCCTAATTTTAATAGAATGTCCTTTTTAAAATAATATTAGACAACGTTTTTATTCAGAATATATACAAACTGACATTTTTTTAAAAGGTTTCTCTCGGGCATTTTAGAATTTCTGACAAATATTAAATTGATAATAACAACATTTACATTTTTTTTCACTGTTGTTACTATTAGTATAAATGTCTGATTTTTTTATATTGATTGGGGGGGATTTTAAAGAATTTTTTTTTTTA